CGGCCATTAAAATCAACCGAGGCAGACCATATATAGAGAAAAGTGTCTTGCTTTGAATCATGGTGTGATGGCTCTCAAAGCAAACTCAAGAGGGTCTTGAGTTCCCAAAAACCGTAACTCGGTGACAGTGTGGTTTTCCTCCCCGACACGAAAAGCCCCACGTGGTATCCATATTATAACCTCCTACAAGCTCCGGTCATCCACAAGAAGATTCCTCAATAATCCACCTTGCAGCCCTGACCTTGAACCTTGTAACTTCAACGCTTTCGGTCCGCTGGAAAAGTTCCTTGCAGGACAACAATTCATGTTCAAAGATGAAGCTAAGACAGAAGTCTAACGGTGGTTACATGAAGCCAGCTCTACGAATTTACCACAGAGGCATCTCAAATTTAGTGTTACGGTGGAACAAATGACAGAACTGATGTGGGACAGTAAAATGATAAACATACGCAGAATACATATTTGTAATACATGTATGCACGTTATTTAAAAAAAGGCAGGGTAAAGAGTTTCTTGATCTGCCTTCTCATATATTTCCAAGACCAATCGGATATCAAGGGCAAATTATATGTTAATGGCGTCAATGAAAATACCATACTCCTTTTCTACCCGAAAAAAGAAGAGAACCTATTAAACTGTCTATTATAAGTGAAACGAAAGAAAACTAGACATATGTCTCTGAAAATAAAAAACAAAATAAGCATTTATTTCAGTCTAAACCTCTCGGACGATGCACTCTTTGATAAAAAACATGAGAGTTCAGATAAATTTTCCCTATTATTAAAAACTGATAGTCTAAAAACTTATTTCTTGATTGACAATTATCAAAATTCTATTTTGAGAGAAGAAGATCTATAATTTCTATCTTCGTCAAAAGATAAGGGATAACGCGGGAATACTTTTTTCTGATAATAAGCAAACAAAAACTCTTCAACTTAATTGTCATATTGTTATTATTATCTTGGCTGTTTATACTGAAAGCAGCATGTTTTAAAGCACTATTTGTTTTACATTTAATATTTTTTTTCTGTTGGTAATTTGAACAGTATTTGATTTAATACACTCTAATACGATGGAGTACCCGAAAGAAATCAAAATTATTTTTTTTTAAAACTTACCCATCCAATTTTTAAGCACAAATCTTAACCCCCCATTTAAAAGTGTACTCACCAATTTGCACTAATACACTAATCTAATTCGCGCTTTTCAAAAATATTATTTAATGTACCGTAAGCGGTCAATATTTTGAGCAAAATGTTCCTAAAAAAGTAAAAACATTCTTCTAATTGCATATAACTAAGCATCTAAGTGGCACACTTAACAGGATGTGAAAATGGAATTTATTTTAATTTTCACCTTTAAAGTTTTTTCACGTTTTTCTTCAATTTCTATTATTAGCTCACAATATCCCTATATATATATATATATATATATATATATATATTGTTCAAATTTTCAGTGGTTGATAATATACTTTCTATTCTTCCATTCAAGTTCGAATACATTTTTTTAAACTTGTAGTGAATGACACTTGACGTTAATACAGTTTTTTCAAATATTTTTTTTAATTCATTAATTAAGTTAAAAAATGAATAAATAGTAACAAATGAAAATAATAGTCAACACCATATATAAAAAGGAAAATCGTTCGTTGTGTCTCCGTAGTGCAATGGATAGCGCGTTGGACTTCTAATCCAAAGGACGTGGGTTTGAATCCTACCTGGGATGGCCTAATTTCTGAGAATGGGGTTTATGAATGAATAAATAGTAAAAAACAAAAATAACAGTCCATTACCATATATAGAAAGTAAAATCGCTTCCTATTTTGCTACTTAATATTGTGATTCTGTCATATATATATACACATTTATATTAATTGTGATTATTTAATAAAAAGTAACTGAAATAAATAATTTCTTTGTTTACCTAAGAAGGAATTGACGTAATTTTTTTTATATACTACTTGTTTATTTTATAGAGTCGTAGAACACACCAAAACTCTTAAATCTTTGTTTTTTATAAGTACACCCTGCATGCTACGGAGAATGATTTTCATATATCTTAAAAGAATTTGTTTCATACTTGCAAAGAATTTCGCGTCGGTACCTCTTTTTCAAACAGTTGAGGATTTTGTGTGTGTGTGCGCGAATATATGCACACACAATTTGAAGCATGGCTTAGTACCAAGTCTTACATAGCAATAGAACAGAGATAATGCCGATTTTTTTAACATTCAATTTTCATTTCTTCTCTAACCGTAAAATTGCACATTGTTTTTCTAAGTTAACCTAGCTCCTTTATTAGATATTTTCAAGAATTTAATACCTGACTTAGATGAAAATCTGCCATCACCACAAAGAAAATCCCGGATGAGAAGCCTTTCAGTTACTGGGACAAATTAAATCTTTGAAAATACTAGCACTAATTATCTCAATTATACGAATTAAAAAAATGTATGCAAATCAAGGATACAAGTAATATAAAAAATCAATTCCTACTTTGGTCAACTAAGAAAAATTTTATTTTATTTACTTTTTATTAAAGAGTTACAATTAATATAAATAAGTATAAACATATGTGACAGAGTCAAATTTAATTATTATAATAAAATAGTGTAGTAAAAAAAGAAATCACATTCTCTGATCATCTCCCCCAGGTGAGATTCGAACCCACGACCTTTGGATTAGAAATCCAACACGCTATCCATTACACTTCAGGGACACAACAAGCGATTTTCCTTTTTATATATGCTGTTGGACTATTTTTTTGTCATTTTTTTTATTTATTTAATTAATTAATATTTGAATAAATGTGTTAACATCAAGTGTCATATCCACTATAAGTTTAAAAAATGTATTTGAACTTGAATGGTGGAATAGGAAGTATTTTATTAACGATTGAAAACTTGAACAAGATATATATTTATAAATAAATAAATATATTTAAGAAGAGTCCCCTATCCGGTATAGTGGTTAGCGACGCTGACTTATGTGCCTTTCGGTCTGTGTTCGAATCCCGGAGAAGACATGGATGTTTGTAAATGTATAGTGCCTTCGCGACATGGGGTACTTTAAATAGCCCCCCAGCTGCAAGTCCTCTCGTGTGGTTGGAGGAAGGGGAAGAGAGATGGGAGGCCCTGACCACCCCCAGGGTGTTCTTCCTCAAAATTGGAGTGAAACCGAGCTAAATCATTTCGTCACCTGTAAGGAAAGCTCAAAGCTATGGCTAAACAACAGACGTCACTTTTCAGCCCCCTGCCATGATAAATTTCGTGGGCATTGATCTGGCTTTGCCTATAAGGTGGCATTAGGTACAAACAACATATAAGGAGAGTGCGAACTAATATTGAAATTGAAAAGAAGAAATACGCCCAAAAATAGTGTATGGGCAAAACAGACGGGGCCAGCTTTGGTAGCTCGTCCTGGTGTATGTACAAAACCAGTTAAAAATTCATTTTTGTGATGTTTTACAGTGTATATATAGTTCTTCAATTCACCTTAATACAGCGTTTCTCAAACTGTGGATTGCTCCCCTAGGGGTGTGGGAAAATCCTTTCGAGGGGACGTGAGCATATCGAAAAGTCGGAAATAAAAAAATTATTTTACTTAACAGCCCGCGCAAAAGAAAGAACATTCTGAATAAGAAAAGTAACATAATACTTATCCTATTAATTAAAAAAGTCACTTAAAATATTTATTACTTTAAAGTAACACATACAAAATTAAATACATATATTGATAATTTGTACGGTTTATAATTAAGTTCATATATTGTATCTTTAGCGTTTAAGTACATTATTAATGCATTCAAAACATTGGATTGTAAGTGGGAGAGGGGATGAAAATGATGACTGAAATTTGGGTCATGAATATTGAAAGTTTGAGAAGCACTACCTAGTAACATTGGCAAAACACTTTCGCGTCTCTATTCATTCGAGAAACAAAAACAAAAAAAGTCACACGGAGTAAGATCGGGAGTATGGAGGGAGTGAGGAACAGGGTCATGACATTATTGATCAAGAATTCGTACGTATAGTTCAGTTGTGCTCATGATCTCAAAAAAATATCTTGCTCCAGTTAATATATTTTTCCATAGTATTATTTTTAAAAAATTTTCCTTAAGCAAAAACATCATTCATTCTTCAAAAATTCAAGAAACTATCGAAGATATTTCTATAGTTCTTAATTTTTGAAGGAAAGGGATTATATTCCATGATTCAATGCAAGGAAAAAAATTACAGCTCAAAACGTCATGACCTTTAAATTTCGAAGTAATGGTGAAAACATTTTCGTGTATTACAATTCTGCGGTGCTTATAGTGAATTTTATATTTACGCTAATAGCTCGTACCTCGGAATATTAAAATACCAAACACTCTTTTTCACAAACCAGCATGCTATAAAATAAAGAATGTGTTTTGTCACTCTTTTATAGGTTAAAGTATATCTCTTTTGCATTCATAAATGTAGTCGAACACATGTGACGTTGTTATAAATCACTTAAGGAGTGTCTTCCCATGTATATAGACTTTTACTCACTAATCTAACTTAATGTTTTTTAGAACTAATTGTAATATTTTCTCCCGATTTTCAATAAAAATTGTTAATGGAAAGCAATTCTAATACAGAATACACTGTCAAGACAGTCAACAAATATATAAATACATATAAAAACTATTGGTAAAGATTTTAACAACACATAATTATATAAAAGAGAAAAAAAGAGAAACAATAATTTTAAAACGTACTACTTTTATAATAATAAATAGAAGCAGAAAATCTTAAAGTTTCACAACCATCTATGTAGAACCAGTTTTATCGAACTTCGGTCAATATATATATAAAAATTTAATTTTTCACGGACCAAATTTCTTTAAGCATTGCTCGATCCGAAAATCTGAATGTTATTCTAGTTTTAAAAATTGGCAACATCTCATTTAAATTCTTATTTGATTGACAACTTTTTCCTATTTTCAGCCGGGGTAAATACACATCAAATCCGGCCCCTACCCAGTATGGTGGTTATGACTATCGGCTTGTATTCGAGTGGGCTCGGGTTCGAATCCCGAATAAAGGCATGGGATGTATCTTCGGGAAAAGAAATCGGACTCACTCTGAAATATCCTCGCCTCAAAGGAAAGCAGCGCAACTCTCTTCTGTTCTATGCTGGGGTCATCCTTTGTAATAAAAATCTATATTCTTCGGAGATTGTGTTATATGTTTCTGTGTTCACATATATCTCTCGTCTTTCGTATGTATCTCAGTTTGAAACGCACAACAACAACAATACGTCAAATTTGAAGAAGGTATTTAACTTGCTATAGTTAAAAATGTACATTTTGAATAGAAATCTGTATATGAATTATGGCATTTATGTATAAATGTAAAATAAAACTATTAGGTATTTCACAAACCTTTTTTTTTCAAACGAAAACTCAACTTTGGTGGAAATTGACAAGCCATTGAAGTTTATTTCAAGCATTAATTAAATGTAATTGTAGAGTGTGGTGAATAAGAAAATGCTTTTGACCTTTCTTTGAAGCGGTCTGCACGTAAAATCTTGCTATTCTAGTAGGATGCTTCGAAAATGCACTGTACGTATTTTTTTTTTGCTCAAATAAGTATAAGATTCTCAACCGCTTTTATAATCCACTTGAAGGCAAAAAAAAAAAAACGGCCCTAGAATGGCAGAATTTTATGCAGACCCTTTGAGGGGTTAAAATAAACTTCAGCGACTTCAGTTACTTGATTTATTTATTTGGACTTTCTTCCATTGAACTAAAAGCAGTTCATAACTGTTCCTACGTAAAAGCATTACAACTGGCTTGGATTTTTAGATCACACATTGTACATTGGAACTAAAATAAACATATAAAACCATTAGAGCAATTTAAGTATGAACTACATAGCATAACGGCTACTCACACAATAATAAATAAATATAGTATATATATTCTTTCTTTACTATATTAGCTATAAAAATCTTTATATACTTTATACGTTATCCCATTTAACTGGACTTTCTTATTGATCTGAAGGATCCAGAAGTCTAATTTTTTCTGGATTGATAGGAGGATTTATGAGGTTCTATGGATTTAAAAGTTTAGCTTCATTTTATTAGCATAATATTTTTAAAATAAAGTATTTGAAAAACCCATTTTAATCTTTGAGTTTTCGATATGTCAATATTTACAAAAATATTTTGAGGTATATAACAGCTATTATTTCCATAAGATAAGAATTACTGCTGAACCAAGTAATCGTTATTCAATACATAGAAAAATGCCCTCAGAAGAAAACAAACAGGGTAGGTAAAAATTACCTACACTCACAATAAGTTTTCTTAATCTTGCAAAATGCTCTTCACCCATGGTGTTTCTCCCAAATCCAACTCCGCTTTTGATGACTTCAGGGGCCGTCTTTTGCCAAAACGGTATCAAATCCATCAGGAAACAAACTGAGTGAATTTCTACAGTACTAAATACTTTGCAGACTTATTAAGAGGTACAAACGTTGATGAGAAAACTAAAGCACTGTTTATCCGAAGCGCTACTAGAGCTGAAGAAGGAGTGAAACCTGATTCCCAGCTGACAGGCCTTTGCCCCGCCGTTGACTCGCGTGATACTTTATACCGCGACAAAGAGCAAGTGATAGTGACTGCGCCTCAGCCAGAATCAAGCTGGGTCTGGGAAGTAGAGGTTTCAAAAATATTCCAGTTGTTTTATTAAACGGCATCTCCCCATTGAACCTTCCCTCCTCTTTTTTTTCAAGTTTTTTCGGTTTATTTATTTATCTTTTTTCTGTAGCTCAACTCCTTGTTTTGACATTTTTTTCCTCTCATTTATGTAAAACGCCATATACTGAAATAATAAGGAAATGGTTTTGTAAATGCTGCTTTCGTCTAATAGTTTTTGATGTTTCTGTACCTTTTCTTGCGTGCTTAAATGAAATTTAATGAAAGGATATTGATATGATGCTGCTTTGATTCCGGTTTTAGATGATCTCTTTCATTTCCAACAATAACAAAGATATGCTTTGTCAAATCTTGAGCGCACATTGTTTTAAGTATATATATATATATGTATGTATATATTGTTGTTGCTATTATCCTACTCATCTTGACTAGTTATACCTTTAGGTTTATAGCTATTTGTATATATAGTATGTTTATATTTCCTAATATTTATTATATTAGAAAATATGTTTTCTTTTACATCTGGATTAAAATAGCTGAAGACCACTTCTTTTAAAAATATTTTTCCTTTCGTATTTTTTATTTATTTATTTCAAGGGAGAAATGAAAGAAGTGAATTTTATCAGTCAATTTTAGAAATTAAAATTAAGCTGGAGCATTTTTGTAAAGGTTAGTTGCAGATTCTGAAATTAAATTGAATGCGATGTTTTTTTAAAAGCAACCCGGTTTTAAAGTCGTAAGAAATTGTATACGGAAAGTAAACAATAATTTGTTTAAATGCGCTACCGCAAAACCATAAAAGAAAAGGTTTTTGACGTATTAGCTCAGCGGTCGTGCCTTAAGTGGTGGTCCTCCCGCAGAAAATTTCGCTGATTTTCACAAAAATGTGAATGTACTTACCATCACGTTATGTTTTCAAAATGCATTGAAACATAATTTAATTCATAACAATACGTGAAATTAAAAAAACATATTTTGAATCCCCCACGTTAAATAAGGAAGGTATCACCCGGGAAATGTATAATGCAAAAAGTTTGATATCTTAAACCATTTTTATTATTTTTTTTACATTTTTTTTTGTTTTTTTTTATTTGGTTTATTAATAAAGCTTTCATTTTTGGGTAAAAATTTTACTAATTAAATTTTTTTATGCGTCGTCACAGTTTTCGTATAAATATATTTAACCTTAAAAATCTATTAGTTTTCCCACGGAATTAAATTTAATTTTGGGTTCGTGAGGCCCCAAAAGTTTGGCGACCGTTGTAAAATCGGTCATTTTGAAATCAAAATGTCGCCAAATCTATAAAATGTTTAAAAAGGCTCAAAAAAAAAATTATAAAAATATGACGAGGAATTTTTTTTCCTTTTTTGTTTTGAGAAAAATTTTAAAATCGGGCACCTTAAAAAGGAAATAACGTAAAGGGTTTTTTTGGTTCTGGATAATTCCATCAAAGAGTGCACACAATTGGTCAAAAAGATACTATCCGCCACCTGAATAGTAGTTATTTATTTTTAGACATTTTTTGTTTAGTTAAAAATTAAGGTATCCGAATAAATTCGGAACCGCGTATAAGTATATATATATATATATATCTTAATTTAATACAGACAAATAGTAACAACAATGAAGCAAATTTTCTTGACATACATGTCAAATGAAATGATAATGTAATAGTTTCTAATTTTATGATAAAAGAAGAATTTAATTTCGATTTAAAAAATTTCCCTCATTGGGAGGTAATGTATATATTTCTATATTTAGAAATATTTTATTAATTATATACAACGTAATAAATTTCTGGTCAAAAATATCAGAAATAAAAAATAACTAAAACATTTTAAAATTTCTTAAATCAAAATACCCAATTAATTTTATTAATAGTTATATGAATAAATATTCAAAATAGTTAGGTTTAAAAAATTCTGAGTTGATAATAGTTTATTACTATAAACTTAAATATTTCATAGTTAGTTATCTCCATAATCTAATATAAGATAAAATTTCTTATTATCATTTTATTCATATTTTTACTCTAGTGTTATTAAAAATTATGCTATAATTTTTCAACTCTTATTCATTTTATTTTCCCTTCTTTTTTTCTTTTTGTTAAGTGGTACATTTCGCCCCCTTTACATGATTTAAATCTGCATTAGGTCCAGAAACGGGAATACTTATTTTTGCACTCCCGATTTAGGGGGCTTCATTTGTAAATGCAATTTTAGGTAAGTTTCCTCTTTTTTTGAATGGATTTAAATTTCCCATTTTTTATTGGTGTTTTTCAAAAAAGGGGGAAAGGGTTTGGGTGGCCAAAAAAAATGTTTCAATCCCCCATATAAATTATTTTTTTATAAGCCCCAAGTCCAAAGTTTACAACACTGGGATCCATTTTATAATTTTTTAAACTCTGATACTCAAAATGCCTTCATTGTGTGATTTTCCTACGTCTATGTGTTTTCGAATGTGATTGTTGGATTTATCTCTAGTTTGAGAGAATAAGCCTATATATATATATATATATATATATATATATATTTATATATATATATATATATATATATATATATATTGATATTTAGTATCACTTTAATTAGAATATATACATAAAATTGCTTAAGAATAATGTTACAATTGAAAATGATCTAAATGCAAATTTTTGGTAAAAATTCACAAAAAATGACATATTTTCAAAATGTTCTCCTTTTGTGAAAAATGCCTCTATAATAATAATACTTTGCCGATATATTAGAGAAAGCCTGAACCAAGATTTTTGAAAAAATCACATTATTTTCAAAGTTATGTTCAATTAAAATTATAGCCCCTTTGTTTTTGTTAAAATTTCTGTTCTAAGACATTTTAAATTATGAATAAATCCACTTCAAAATCATACGTTTTAAAAATCTTTGTTCGGGCTCTGTAGAGAAGTCTCAGCTATAATAAGCAAAATATTATTCTTACAGAAGCCTTTTGCAAGAGAAAAACCTTTTCAACGGGAATGTTTTGAGAATATGTCATTCTTTGGCTAAAAGATGGCATTTAAATAACTTTTTTTTTTGTAATATGTTCTTAAAACGATTTTATGTACATATTCTAATTCAGGTGACACTAAACATCACAATTATTTATTTATTTGCCTATTTGTTTTTCCAAAATCAAGGTTCCGAACATAGTTGGATACTTAAACTGTTTTTTGTGTAAATCATAAAACTTAAGTATGTGAAATTTGATTTAAACTTTGTTATTTATTCAAATATAAACTCTTTCGCAATTTCTTCAAAATCTTCACCAATTAGTCGACAGCATACAAGAGCTCCAAAACGAAAAAAAAATTAAGCACTGCACGGAGAGGCACGAATAAATTTATAAACAATAAAAAATGATGGATT